AGTCGTCTCGGATGGCGGGATGTTGGCTTGCGGGCTCGATCGATAACTTTACCCCTCTGTACTCCCACCCCGCTGCCTAGGGCTACCATCTAAGTTTACAACTGTAAGGCGTTAAGATGTTACCAATGTTTCACTTAATAAAATAACAGATATAGCCTAAAAAGAAACTGTCTCGCACGACATTTTGAAAACTTGACTACCAAATTTTATGATAAACTCCAAAATATTAGTGGTTATTGAAAAATAATATTAGATAAAGTAGTTGTAGGTACTAGTAATAAAATCGGAATTTTTGTTTATTTGCAATATCTGAATATAAGAGAAATATACGTATGTAATATATTTGGTCATTTTTGGATTAACTAAATTTATTTAGTTGACATAATTTACAGTAGGTAAACTTATATTTATCTTTTATAAAATTGGTGGAATAGGATAATTTGGTTACTAAATTTAAAATAATTATAATTTATAATATCAAACAAATATTTTAAAATAATTAAAAGAAATCTCTCCATATTATTTAAAATTGAATTTGGCCTTGTAATTAATTTTATTATTATTTATATTAAAACCTCCATACCATACATGCCAAAAAAATTGTTCTGTAATATATAAGAAGCGACTCGTACCCAGCTATTGAAATTATATTAGATAATATACAAACCAGAAAAGTTTGTGATATTATTTTCATTATAAGTACAAAAGGTAATTTAGGTACCTTTGTGTAAATGATTAAACATTTATTACAAGAGATTATATATATTAAAACAACAGCCAAAATCAGAATATATAATTATAAACTGCATAAATTAAGACAGGTGGCAACCCTTCATCATGTAACACTAGGATTTCTCGAAACTGAATAGGTAGCTGTTGTTTGTGCAGGCAAATAAACGTTTTGAGAGGATAAATGGTTGGTACTGTTAGGTTTGGGAATAAACAACCAGCAAATATTGATCGTGTCGGCAATTGACTTTAGCTTCGTAGTAGTTTTAGCGAAAACAAATTATGAGGGTAAAATATCTATATAAATTCTCCATTATGAGAGTTATATTATACAAACTTAAGTAATAGACTCATTATACCCAACGATTGTAAATTGTACTGTATTCAATGCATAGTTATTAAATGGTCGGTTTCCTAATTTTCAGTCAAATATATTCGCCGATGTTTACCGTACGAGATACAGTGGGAGGATGATGTATGAAATAACTGATATTGACAGCAAATGGTATACGGTATACGATGATTTGATTGGTTACAATTGAGAACGCCCACGGCAAAATTAGACGATATTGCTGACCGGTAACTCTAAATGATTATAATGACCTGATTATACGAGACAATACTGATATTTTATAAGTATAATGGCTGATATAAATAAATAGGTAATAAGAGGAAATGAAAATATGCCACGTGTACATTGACGTGAAGAATTTTCTTTTTGATAATCGTATAACCATAATTTACTGTCGATTTGTTGGTTCCAAATTTGAATATTTCTACTAACTTATTGTGTAATTAATAATGGCTGTCCTATTTCCTACTCATGTTTCGAGGTTAATAAACTAGGTTCTAAAATCCTGCCGAAACGAATTTAAAGGTATGTTATAATATTAATATAATATAATGTAAAAAAAATATGGAATAATATATTTAAAAGATAGGAAGAATAAAATCACTACTATTATAAAAGCTAGTTTCACTTTTAGTTAATTTATTGTTGAAATAGAATCTTGAATTTCGCGCCGTAAAATAAGACCTAAAACTAAAAAAAATATATAATTTTGTTCTATAAAAGAATAATTTAATAATTCTGTATGAAACCGACGTGTAAATCCTTTTGGCAAAAAATTAAAAGTTAACGTCATTTTAGAATTAGTAATTCATACACATATCGTACATTGGAAAAGTGTAATTGAATCGGAAACTTCCTCCTTTTTGCCGCTTGAAATTGAAACTGCAGAACACCTGAAACACAAACTACCATTGTTTGCGTCTCTCATAGTTCATGCGCAATAAAAATAAAAACTCGCCGTGCCGGGGCCGGGGTTTCAAACAATAATAAGTGCCCGCCTCCACTGCTGTTAAGGCTCTATTAGATTACCTCGACAAAAGACGCTCCAGTCATCCCTTAATTATTTACCTACAACGGATGAAAGCAACCGCTGAATTACAAAGTGTCGAGAATTGTAATTAAAACTTATTAAACAAAACATTTGTCGAGGGACACGGACTAGTTATTATTAATTATATTCTTTGTTCTACTAATATTTTTACAATTAACTTGAGTTAAAATTACAGAATCTTTGATAGAATTCTGCTTTTGTTGAATAATAAATATCAGTAAGCAAATAATATAATACAAATGGTTCCAATACTATAAAACTATCACAGATGAAAACATGATTACAAAAAAAAATCATTTGCTTTCAATTTTATGTCGATTCTATTATTTTACTTACAATATGTCTTGCTTACTATTTAAACCTACAAATTTCTCTCGACGCGTTTTAAAATGTATTTCCATTTATATAAAAATAAAAACTTAATCAAATTAAAATGTAGCGCAAACTAAAAAGACTATAAAATGAATGAACGAAACAGATTTATTTTTACACACGCCTTTGTAAATGCTGCAATAATAACGTTGATTTTCAAAAGTTATTTTTACTTTCTCGGACATTATTAATTAGTCATAAACGTCAACCAGTACGATAGCCACATGTGGATGGTTTTATATTAGAATATTTTTATATTTACGCTTGTGTGAAGCGTGCATAATACGTAAATTTTAGTCCCATTAGTGTATATACATATCATATGGAGGAGCGAGGTAGTCCTTGAATCTTAAAGAAAGTACCTACATAATGTGAACGTGGGTGGTTTTAAAGGAGGCTGACGGAAAAAGTTATAACGGACGGTGTGAAAGATGATATGCATATAAAAGGATAGTGAGCACAGATATCGGCCGAACAGGGATCAATGGAAGAAGATTACATACTCCGCCTATCCCAATAAATAATGGCAATAAGATGAATTTTTAATCTAATTCTTTAGCTATTAATATTTCTCACAAATAATAGATTAGGTACTTTGCTTATTTGAACCACTACATAAATTGCACCTTTGTGGTACAATATAAGATCCATTCAGCCGATTTGTAGTGAAAAGGTAACAGACAGATAGATAGACGGACAGACTATCACATTTATATTGTCAGTATAAATGGATTAAGAGTAAAAACATTAAAGGCCGTTTTAAAACTTTTATTAGAATAGTTTAGTAACTAACTACCTACCGCATTCTCGTCCCTGCTGAAATAACATTCAAAATACGATCTCAATGAATATTACTGTTTTTACGACCTCTGTTTAATATCAGGACTGAATTAGTCATCAATTTATTTTAGAATACGCTGATTATTGAATCTTTGTTTTTATTTTTTTAATATGAAAATCCAAATATTTCACTGTTCAGATACCTATATGTATTTTTATTAATCCTTTTATATTTGAAAATATTGTTTATAATTCTATTAGATGTAATATTTTCTCGTATATGTATATCCATGCCTACTTAACAAGTAGAGAAGGGGTGGTTGTAATAGGTAATCGTATAACTATTGCTAGCAATCTTGCACGTCAGGTCGACCTCGACGCGATCCGGCGTTGAAGACATGAAGATAAACTTTGTCGTTAATTCCTGGTATATTCGCCCCTATAGAGTAACTGAACTGGCGTGGTACTCTTTTATTCATCATCCTCTCGCCAGGGCATACCACTACCGCAGGCGGGTGATCAATTTAACCATTAAAACCTAGCATATTTTATTTATAAAATAAATAAATAAACTTGTATAATTAACACAGAGCCACTAGTCCCGCGGTTAGCAGAGTTTGTGTTATGTGTACCATAACTGATATAAATACTTAGATTTCTTTTGTAAACACTTACTACATACATAAAAAAAGACCGATACAAACAATCATGCTCATAAATACAAAAGCGTGAACCGTGCGAGGAATCTAATCGGCGACCATCATAAGTAAAACGGTGTGGTTAACCACTAGACCACCGAGGATATATTCGTCAAAAAATAAAACTTTATACCTATTTGTTTGTTTTTCGTCTCTACTAATGACTTTCAATATGATTCAATAATAATATCAAACAAAATAAAAAATCACCTTTGTCTTTCTGTGTTAACACATGCTACTTTTATCTTTGACTTTTTATCTGGTTTAATGACGACGGTTGGGCACGTGTCTGCAGGTATAAAATTCGGTTAGCTTTGGACCTTTTTTTCTCGCGATACCACCAAGAATACTCGTATACTCGATCAGCCGTGCGTGCGCGCATATGTTTATCGAGACAGATGTTTACTTTGGCAGGAATTTATTACATATTCCGCCTTCACTTTTTTCAATAAAATGATAATTGTTTTCTTTATCCCGTGGCATTTTGCATTTAGATTTTATTGAATAGTTTACAGTGCCACTAATATTTCACATTTAAATATATGACTCCATTTCAAATTAAATCACAATTACATTGTTTGTATATGTATATTAGTAATTTTATGCAATTTTCACTTACTGAAATAAAAAAAATATAATAAATAAAATATTTTAAAAAAGAAGATTTATTTATTTACTGAAAATTTCTTCATACTATAAAATTCAATCCTTCAAATTAAATAATTCTATAAATTATTACACCCGTGAGAAACCGGGTCGTGCAGCTAGTACGTTAATAATAATGACATCAATCGTCTGATACTATTAAGGCACAGTACCTGCGCGTCCGTTAGGTTTATAAAGGAATAGGCCGTTCAATGACGACCATCTGTCGCACGGCAAATCATACAATGGAAGGTTTTTGCTCTATTATAAGCGGCTGCAACGTTTGATATTTAGTTACAAAGGGTTATAAAATAGTAAAAATATTTTATTTATTAGATATAGTAAGCCTAACATAAGGTTTTTCTTGTTTCAGAATGTGAAAACAAGCTTCGATCCATCAATGTGGACAACATTGATCTGACCTCAGCAGACAATGCGGTCACAAGCTACAAAACCTTTACCTAAGAAAGGGACCCTGAGTAAAGCGACTTTTAAGGCGAACTCCAGCCCAAGACAGGCAAAAAACAAGTCCGTATGTCAGAAAAAAGTGAAGAATCTTTTAAACAAATCTTTAGCCAAAAGTCCTAAAAAGAACTCTTCTAAAGATGATGCCAAAAACGATGGTGATCTTTCAGTTGGCGAAAAAAATGAAGCATCGTCATCAAACTGTAAAGCAGGACCATCTAAGTCCAATAACACTCAAAGTGACTCGTCATCAAAAAAACATAGGAAAGAACCCAAAAAGAAGGAAGAGTCGATTAAAAACAATCAAGAAAATAATGGCAAGAAAGTAGTAGCTAAAAAGTTTCTAAAAGTTTCAAAAAAAGTTAAAAAGATAAAACCCAATGACAAGGCCAGTGAAACAGATAATGATGTAAAGTACAAAATTAATATAGAAGTCATTAAAAAGAACACATCTAAATATTCTAAAGCTAAAACTATAATTAAAAAAAGACATGTGACCCCGAAAAAAAAGAATATATGCCAAGTAAAACAGGAAAATTCAGCAAAAGAAGAAAGTAAGGAAGAAAACGATGTAATTAAAGATGTCGATAAAAAAGATGAAAAGGAAACATCAAGTGATAAAGATATACTATCGGATATTAAACATGAAAAAGTAATTGAAACTAAATTTGAAGGAAAAGTTGAAATTAAAGATACATCGTTAAGTAAAATTACTACCAACGTACCTTCCCCAAATCTTCCAGAAACTCCAAAAACAGAAATTGAGAGACCCCCAAAATTCTTTACTTCCACCAGATCTCCTAGAACAGTGGACATAGATGTCAAGTGTTTCAAGAACTCAAAGGGGAATTTAAGTATGTCTGAAAGGTTCATATCTATGAAGTATGAAACCAAGTCGGAAGATAACAATAAAGATAAGTTTATTAGTAACACTCTTATATCACAAGGTCCAGATATTGATGTTTACACATTTACCGAAAAAGTTGACTCACCAAAAAGTATATTATCTGATTTTCGGAGTCCTATTAACAAGAACGTAGGCAGAGTTAGACCTATAGCTAGAGTCAAAGGTACTATTATAGACAAAAAAACTGATATAGAAAAGAAAAAATATTCACCACACAGACCTATTGAAGAAGTAGTAAAGCAATTAAAAGCGAACAAACGATCAGAGGAATGTAACACAAATTCAAATCAAACCATTACTACTAATGATAATGCTAATATAATTAGCAATGATAAAGACCTGGAAGATAAACCAAAACCAATAGTAAGTAAATCTTATAAAATGGTGGCTAGAAAATCTAGTATAACTGGAAAGCCATTCAGCCCAACTAAATTCTTGGAACAAGAATCATCGCCAAATAAAAATGATAAGATACATGATAAACCCGTTAAAACTACTAATTTGAAAAAATCACCAGTAAAATCTAAAAAGCAAAAGAAAATAGTTTTGTCAGATGGTGAAATTGATTCGTCTAAATTTGCTCTAAATACAAAAACATTCCAATATACTTCTTCAGATGAAAGTATTGGTGAATCTAACGATGATAATGACGCTAAAGAATCCTGCGATTCTGATACACCTAAACCCAAGAAAACAAAAAGTAAAAAATATAAAAAAGTGACAGATATTGGTAAAAAAACATCGAAGGAATTAAAAGAACTGTCAAAAGATTCTCATTGTGATCTTAAAGAGCAATCGATTCTTTTGTGTGAAAAACCCAGTAAGAGACGACTGAAACTCTTATCTATGTGGACTGGACCAAAAAAACATAGAATGGCATCACTTAATGCTATTGCAAAAGTACATTGTTTGTATGAAAATGAGAGCCGCACTCATATGGAGTTAGGTTTAATGAGAACTGTCGACAGACAAATAATGCCTAGTACTTCTAAGCCAACAGTGATGAAAAAGAAAGACATAAAATCAAAAGATACTGAAAAACGTGACAGTACATCTGAGTCTGAATATGAAAATAGGACTGAGAAAAAGGATGAAAGCTCCGAAAGTTCCGACGATAACCCTCCTCAGCGAAGTCTACGAGGAGTACCGGGCATTAGAAGTGCTGGTAAATATTGGGATCCAAAATCATCCACGTCTTCAAGTGAAGACAGTGAACTAGAAATTAAAAAGAAACCTACCAGTCCTGACAAAAAAAAAATATCTATTAAATCATCAACAAAATCAGATATTGAGAAACCTCCGGTTAAAATGAAAAAGACGGTTGGTGTACCAGTGAAGAAAAAGCGCAATCGAAATGAGGTAGTAATGGACTTAAAGGATATGGTTGTACAAAAACGCATGGCTAGTCTTAATGCAACTGCTATTCTTGCTGCCAGTTATGAAAAGCGATCTCCCAAATCTAGCAAAGACGATTCTACTTCCGACTCGTGCAGTGACGAATCTTTTTCTCAGAAGCCAAAAAACGGGGCAACTTCCGGCGTTAAGTCGGAAGCAAAAATAGAAGAACTAAAAAAGGAAACCGAAGACTCATCGAATACCGATAGGAAACAAAAAGTAGAGGTTATTGTAAATCAAGATACTGATGTTACCATAACTGGAGTGTATTCAACACATCACGAAGGTTTTTGCACAGCAATGCAGTATCGCATCTCCTCAACTAGCCATACTCAGACAACGGCTACAGCAAACTGTGAAAAGGTATGCTTTTTAATTCATATTTTTTTAAGCATATGTTAATTGTTACTATCAGTAGATGTTCAAGATAATACTATAGAGCGGAATGTCTTTGTTATCTTATAGATAAGTTAAAAAATTGGTTTATGAAAACTCATAATAAAGATTTTTTTTCGATGGCGTATTGGGTCTCATTAATACCTAGTAAAGAAGCAAGTTCTATATAAACACGCCTCGGGACCTCGTCCACATCTTATACTTCATGGTTTACCTTTTGAAAGTTTGTAGAGTAAAGTAAACCCTTTGAAATAGATTTATAAGCTGAATGTCGAATGCGAGATGCCTATCTATTGGAGTGTAACGATTTACGGGTGAAAGGAGTATCCATCGTGTTACCCTTGATGCAGATTACATCGTCTGACGCGTTAAACCTTATTAATGTTATGTTAAACTCTCAGAAGCATCAGGGATCCTAACTATTTACGCATAATACGAATACTGAGTCAATCTTAACGACAATTTTGTTTTAGCTGATGTTAGCAATTTTGATAAATAATAATTGTTGTTTATTTAATTTATAATTTTATATTTAAACCCATTTCATATAGCTTAATAAATAATATAGTACTACTAATAAAGTTTAAAATTAATATTATTGAGAAATTAGTACCTATCACGTAGTAACATTGAACAAATGATGATATATGAATATTATAGGAGGGATGTTCCCGAGACGACAATTCCCGCTACACGCCGCTATCGGCGCTGTCATCGATGCAACCTCCAGCAGAACACAGTCATTCTCATCCTCATCCAGGTACGTGTTATATGAAATATGCACAGCCTAAAATAATTCTATAAATATGTTTTGACAATTGGTATAAAAAAAATTAATCTAAACATTGGCGTTCCGCATTAATGAAAAAAAAATTCCACTGAATTGGTTTCCTGGTAAAAAATAATAGTATTCCGGTATTACGTTGTATATTTTCTATAGTGTCGGCAATACTGGTCATTGGTTACGGCTCTTCTTCATGGACCAACTGCAAATTTATTTGCTACTTCAATGAAGGTAAAAAAATCTAATTTTATATTTTACTAGCTATTCGCTAGTCAGTGGTTGGCTACCAATAAAATTTATAACACCACTTCTACTGATGCTATAAAAAAGAAAGTTGGTGACCCACCTAATGGGAAGTGATACCCATAGTCTACAGACATATTACCTATTTAAAAGTAAGATACAAACAGCACGGCCGATTCCAGTATATCATCTAACTTCGCACCGTTGGCTCACATGCGCAGGCGCAATCGTGAAATAGGTCAATGTTTTGATCGACAGGCGACCTCGGCGCAAACGACGCTCCGCGCGCCTACCGGCTTATGACGCCTCACATTAGCTTAGTTTAATCTGCAAATCTTATTGTTTCTCGTCATTTCTATATTAATATAGTAAATAATTTAAATATACCTATAACATTAACTAGTCGATTATTTTAGTTATAATAAGCATTTATTATCTGAAGGCTTATAACTTCTGATAGTACTAAAAAAATGCTGGCACTTCTAGAAAAAAACTTTCACAAAGTATGTTAAACTAGCTTTTAACTAGATTTACAAATCTGAGTGTTACATTAAATTTGCTATTAAACTTTATTACATGGAGTTGAATAATAACAGTACTATTTATTCTCGATAGTGTAGCCAAGAAGTATGGGGTTGCATATTTGGCAAAAGTGTTTACTTAACCTTTACAACCTCTGGCTGCGCATTTTCTTTTTCTTCTGTAGCTCTTCCCGTTAGTCGATATTTGATCAACAACATTAACAAATTCTTTCACAAATATCAGCATATTAAGCATGCAAGCAAGCAAGCATTTAAAATTTGTTAATGTTGTAACATCACCTGTATCAAATAGCGAGGACAAGACTTATAATAATATATACCAACCAGTATACTCGGAAATGTTAAAGTTAACAGAATTTTTTTGAAGTCAGATACACTCTCACTAACAATCTGCTAGATTTAATAAAGAAGTATCAAAACATAAGTGAATTTCGAAATTCACTTAAGCTTTTAAGTTCATTACTATTCAAGATCGCTACACGTAACGGTTAACTGTTTATTAATTACCGGTAGAGAAAAACTGTATCTATATTTAAGTAAATAAAAAATGGAATTCAATTATTGTGGTTCGATTAGTTTCGTACATATTATTTACAGTATATTTTTTCGTAGGCTGCAAATGACATGCCGTCAACCTGCACGGTAAAAAAGCTACCCAATACTGCTGTAAAAATAAAAAAATATACACTTACTTTTGCAAAATAAAACCGCTAAAATGTAGGATGAAAATCCGCTTTGCGAATATATGTAACACAACACAACAACTTGACAAGTCACAACAAAATCATAATAACCAGCGCTCGCTAGTTAGATTGTCGTCATTTACAGCATCATAACCAGTATTGGCGTAACGCCAGACGTGCAGATGTCAGCGCTGATCTTGGCCCCGAGCTCTTCCCTCAGGATATAACAGCTATTAAGATAATCTGCCATGTTTTAAGGAGGCTGTCATTGTAACTGCTGTTGAGAATAGAATTTAGATTTCTGTAACTCGTTCCAAATTGTTTAATTCCAATTTTGGAACTCTATAAAACGGAATTTGAAAGTACACATAATTCAAGCCGTTAGTGAATTAAAATGTGTATGCCTTTCTTCAAAATGCAATCTTTATTCATGTTTTTCATTATGATCCGTTCCGGCGTTTAATAATTGTAACAAACAGATTCAGACAGAGACATTTATAATTTTATTATAGAATATGGATTCACTATTTATTCTCTTTTAAAGATAATCATACCAGTGAAGATATCTTTTATGACTTATAAAATAAAAAAGCATTACAAATGCCTACGGACCCAGATCATCTCGAGATGGACATATGTAGATATATCTAAGAAATGCTTTTATTAACATATGTAGTTAATATATTTATAAATGATATAATAAATGTCCAAAACAAATAAATAAAAAGTAAAATAAATAAATATTTTGAAGCACATGACAATAAAGTTGATTTCCAATAAATTACATTGTAAATAAGAAACATTATACTTTAATTCCTTTTATATTTATTAACATTATTCAGTAGTTAAAAGTAAATAGATTTCTAATTTTGTCGACCAACGCTTTAGAATCTAAAAATAATTACGTACCCTAATAATATTTAATTTACTTTCTGTCCTGCTTAGTTACTTCCTTTTAATAATAGCCTTCGTTTTCTTTATCTACTTTAAATGAGTTGACAGGTCAAGGCTCCGGGTCTTTTTCTATTCTTGGGCATGTCGTGGTATCTTACAATTAGTCTGAAACCGAGGATGAAGAGACTTACTTACTGGCTAATAACAGTGTGTCAGTATCTGTGAACTACCTATCAGGAACTTTTAATCCCTTACTTTTTTAGATGAAGTTCCTTTTTTCTATTTGATAGATAAAGTTACTATTAATATAAGTGTGTATACTCATATACTTATTACATAATCTGTAGGTTTTTGTGAATTTGTATAATTATAAGGAAACTGCAGCACTGCACTGCAGTACCCTGAAGTAATTCAGTCTATGAAACTGTATTAAAAAAAAAGAATAAAAAAACTCTCATATATACGTCATTGGTGTTTACGGTTAGTATATAATGTAGAATAATACGATTTCATGACAAATGAAGTGTTTTGTATTGCTTTATAAAAATGTTTATTCAAGAAAAATTCCGAAACTACTGCTAAAACATTTTTTATTAAATTTGGCTGGCTACCTGTGTGCAATTTGGTCATATTTAAAAGATATATGTTAGTATTTATTGACCACAATATTAGAACTATTGAGCCACATCAACTAGTAAAATATAACTTTGTGATCCAAATGTATATAATTGTTTTCAAACTTTAGAGACAAAGATTCAGACACAGCGATCTTATTACAGTTGTATGTTGTTTGCTGTCAAAACGAACCGAAGCGGCTAAATCTAAGAGCAGTAAATTTTCTAATCCTCTCAGAACTCGACCTCGCTGGAACACAGCATCTGCCACAACTTCCCGGAATTGTACAGTTCGATATAACTCACTTTTAACTAGCGATACTTACGTATTTTACTTACCCGATAGATATATATCCCGATGAGAATACTCTCAGTTTTCATCGATTATATCTTATTAATATTATAAACTCGAAAGTTTGTGAGTATGAATGGATAGATAGATGGAGGGATGTTTGTTACTCTTTCACATGAAACTACTACACGGATTTTGATGAAACTTTACAGTAATTTTAAGCTTATACATCAGAATAACACATAGAAAAAACATTCTATGTCACAGGACGGTACAAAAGATAATTATTTTGTTGATTATTTTTTAATTATATATTAAAATTATATCTTTACTAGTAAATGTTTTTCATACATGGTTTTCATCCAATAATTTTATACGAATACAATCCAAAAAAAAGAGATATATGGTATATGACATTAAAAAATAATTAATACTACTAGGTAATTCTAGAAATACGATTCCATTAATAACGATTTACGATTTGCAATTTAATTAATTACATTTAACGTAACTTATAGGGTCTAAATATTTATTAAAGTCCTCTAGTTTTATTAAATTACTTATTTATTTGATACAATTGTTTCCCGAGTAGGTAGTAAACAATAGTACTTTACAAATTAGATATTTATTCATGCAAACATATTATACATATAGGTATATATACTCCTTGTATTAAAGTATTAGGTATTATTCTATTCTGATAAAGACTTGTGATTTGTTCGCCGTTATGATTCGTCGTGGTCCGCCAATGGCACGGTTCCAACTCGCCCATATCTAGCTTATATTAAATAGCTACCACTTATCTATGTGGCCGCCCATCGAGACTAGAGTCCAAATCAGCACTATCGCTCTTTGATATTCAATTTAATTCTATATGAAACCTCGACAAAACCACAATAGAATTCGTATAAAATCCATATCAATACTACTTGTATTGTAATAAATATATATATTGTAGTAAATTCAACGAAATGTATTAAGTGTTGCATTCATGTAGTGGAATGATGCACCCGCCTGTGCTAACCGTTTACGCTGGCGGGGCACCAGTAAAGGATGATGAGAAGAATATGAGGCCAGGTCAGTTAGTCCATCGTGACAAATTCACCAGATTACCAACAATCCCCTTTCCTCAACATCGACAGTTGACAATGCCTTTAACAAAGGGTTGTTAGATAGGGATCTAAGATAACAGTCGTAATAATGTTATGTTATGTTTAAGTGTTGTAATAAGGATAGATTTTACAACATAATACTCCTGTATTTATCGACCTAGATGGTCTGTCGATTTAGCACACCGCAGTAGTTCCGATGGTTGCGCTTTCAATTCCTCGACGGTAGAAACTTTTTTATTCATGAGTATGATTGTTTGTGTGTTTAATGTGCCCAATAAACCTTACAGATCTATGGATGGATAGACTTGTCTGTCTATATGTCCGTTCTTGTCAGTATCTCTAGAATAACAAACTACATTATTTATAATGATATTACTTTTTTAATCTATATTCAGACATTAAAACATGGTTGTACAAGCTATGATCCAAACGGCCGTTTTTCTATATGAATTGTAGCGACATGATTACATAGAACTCTCATTCCACAGAAAACTTAACGCTTGACTTAATGCCGGTCAGTATCTAATTAAGCTGCGATTACTCACACGGGATGCTCTCAGTTGTCTACAGATTGTAAAACTAAAATTTTAGTAATTAAATTCGAAACTTTTTGGGGTAGACTTAAATAACAATCCCATTTAAGTTTCGTTTATAATTTGATTAATAACATAAGATAAAGTAATAATATATTTGAATTATTACACTCATGTTACCATATTTTTAATATTGTAGTTTGCTTTTTGATTTGATAGCAAGGCTACAGAACCCCACGCGGGGTTCAAAAGGTTAAAAAAATGAGTGATCGCGGATTAAATCAAGTAGAATGATATCTAAAACAAGTTAATCATTTGAGGGATACATATACAAAGTCTAGATGAGTTTCGCTTTTCTACCAGGCAGCTTAACTGTATATTATGTCGATCAAGTCGACCACGTATAACCAAAATCGACTTTCAGTATATATTTCAGTATCGACCGGAAACGATAATTTTACACATCTTGATTTTTTTTTTATTTTTGTTAATTTTACATAAACGAATATGTATGATTTTATTTATCTAAGTGTCTTCATTCATATCAATACTTATTAACAGATATTCTAAAAACAGTGTCAGTGTTCATTTATCGATGAATATTATTATTAATTTAAATAGAACCAATATTTTTCTCTATAAATCAGAGTAACTACTAGTTGTAATACTGAAACCGAAATACAGCCAAAGTTTCAATTATACGCCGAAAGTCATTGAAACGGAATGTTTGATCCGATACTCTACGAGTTAACTGTATAACGATTCATGATCGGCATTTAATACCGTTCTTAATTAGTTGAGCCTCAGTATAGCAACTGTTTACAATCTAAAAAAGTAGTTACTAAATTTCTATAAAGCCCTAAATTAATTAAAATGAATCAACAAATATAATTTCCCCACAAGAGTCACCATTAGTCACAAAACCAAACAAGAATTATGAGCTTAACTACGAAGTTTGTTCAAATACAAAATACGTGGCCCAGATTGAGGTTTATATTACAGACATCGGCGAAGAATTTATTTCATTTTCATCTTGGCATAATTCAAATTTGAGAGCGAAGCATTTAATTTTCATAGCTTAGCGAAATCCCATTTCAGTAAAACCCGATTAGAGAATAAGCACCCACGACCCGTTCGTTATCTCTGCAAAAGAAGCAATTCTTTTAACAACTTGTGTACGAATGATAAGTGCCTATGAGCTATGATCACTACAAATAAATAAGTATGATTATTTTCTTGATTGTTATAACTATATATATATATATAATACTAGCTGACCCGCGCGACGTCGTTTGCGCCACATTTTCCCCGTTTTCCAACATTTTTCATTGCAGCTCCGATTCTATTGATTGTAGCGTGATGTTATATAGCCTATAAGCATTCTCTATAAATGGACTATGTGACACTAAAAGTTCCAGTAACTACTTACAACCTCACAAACTTATTTACTCGTACCTCTTTATAATATCTATTAGTATTTTGTTACAATGTGCATCAGCAACCGTGCTTAATAGAGGATTGAAATTGATGAGATGTAATAGTACAGATAAGAGAATATTACATAATGGATACTAGTGACCTCGTTTCTGGCATACGTAACATAATGACAAATGGACCACCACGCAGATCTGCCTGGATACCATCGTGATTCATTTCTGACAAATTATCATTATTAGCTCAGGCGGGAACATTCCATCATCATCCAATAAAAACAGACCTTTCCCACTCTTTTCAACCGATACCGTTTTCCGAATGTGCTGTAGCGTTATGAAAAATATCATCCAATAATGCTGGGTTCTAAGTTTATTTCAATTAAAATAAGTTAAAATTTTAATACAACATGTCCCTCTCTATTTCATATAATATAATGTACTACAAGTATTACACATTTTGAAGAAAAGAGCAAAGTCTAATCATGAAATCTGAACGTCGACTTTCTGATTTCCAATTATAGAGCCCGTTTGCTGTACGAATAAATGTATGACAACCTGGGGATATTGTGTTTAAATTATATTTGCCAATGTTTTCCTTTTGTATATTGGGATTCATGTTTTATGTTCATTCTCGACATGATTGTTTCATACTTTCTTCATATATAAATTTTTATTTATGCTTTTCTTTTCTATTTGCAATACTATCTATAACTATCATTGTAAGCTGGCGGAAATAATTAAATACTTTTACTTAATTTATTACGCTTGATTATTTATACGAATGTTTTTATAAATTTATATAATATATTGTATATGTATGTAAATATATTTAAAATATGTAATATTAAGATACATACAATAAATGTTTGACAAGATTTATGGTATTAAAACGCGATCGAAAAGAGGAGTGTTGTGCTATTGTCACAGAAATACACAGAATAAGTTAATTGAACTAGGTAATTTGAACATGATGCGATTCAGCTCATTGACAGAGAACTGCTGTTAAGATTCAAGGTCCTGTCAATATAGCCCCAATAAAAATAATAATAAAGTCTCATCTGGCATGACTGCGTAGTTGACTCAGTATATATTCAAATGCCAAACATACAAAATTCTAAATTGCCTAATATCCCTAATTATTGCAATATTATACCGGTACGAAGGACAGTAATTTATTCTAATGAATATAGTATGGCTATAATATAAATTATTATATTATATGTATTATATACATATTAATGTATATAATACATATAATAAGAAGAATATAATATATTTCTGGGCTGTTTGTTATCAGAAAGCCTATGTTATAAATAATTCTCTTATTTCTTTGTTGAATATTTTTAGGTTAATGATAGATATTAAATTCTAATGAAACTAAGTGTTTTAAATTCGCACTCCCCTTACTCAATATAAGACAGGTAGGTCCAAAGACCATGTAGGACTCAATAGTCTAACATGGTCTTTGGACCTAAACCTATTCATTTTGTTGATATTGATTTCTACATATCACATTAGACTCCAAATTTTTCTATATCAAATAGGGTGCTTATATCTCTAAATTAGGGATAGATTTAGTTAAGCTGCATATGGGGTAAGAAGAAATAAACAATTAACAGACGTATCAATGCCTAAACTTGTCTACTTCAGCTATTTCCATAACATTATGTCTTATGGTATTTTATTTAAACCAGCTGATATAAACACAATATTCATTTTGCAAAAGAAGTTCTTCTCGATAGTGCTTTACGGAGTCAAATATCCTCACAGTTGCTTCGCAATATATTTGCGAAAATATCATGTATGCTAGGAAAAATATTGACAGTTTCAAAAATGTTAGCGATTACATTAATAAAAGCTTACGCAATAAAAACAAACTGGTTTTACCGAAATGCCGTTTACTAACGTTAATAATTTTTATGGGAATTGCGTAAGGTTTTACAACAAACTGCCAGGGTCTTTCCTAAATATGATATATTCTAAACTAAGATATTTAACTTGATAATATTATCAATAGGAAAGTTTCAAATAGCACATGGAAGCCAGTCTGTTATATAGGTATACTTAAAAATAAATGGAAACCTAGACATACCTACTTCAAAAAGTCGCAATCATGTAGTGAGTGTATTTTATATTGAGTATCAAATATTTTCCAGTCGGTGTCGGTACGGATATGTACAAAAAAAAGACTACGAAAGCATGTAGGCAGATTTGTTTGTAATAATCGTTTACATGTACCGCCATGACCTGTCGATATGTGACAGTAATGTTTGTAACAGCGTGGATATTACGAGAGGTCGTAAATAATACTATTCTACGACTCCGTTGTTTTGCTATATAAATTAAAATCGCTGTTTAAAAACAGGGTTAAACAAGAATTTAGGTAGTTAGGTTGTATGTATTTTTAATGCCACATTATATAAAAACAACAAATAAAATTTTGTCCAAAAAATAAATGTTAGGGGTATCACTTAGGGGTGTGAAAAATAGATAGTAGCCGATTCTGAGACCTACTAAATGTATATAAAGTTCATAAAAATCAGTCAAGCCGATCCGATCTTATATATAAAATTTTCGTGTCAGAAATACGGGAATTTTATAAGATTATAATAGAAAATATCACGCATTTAATATGTGCAAAATTTTTATATATGAGTATATATACAAAATACTTATAAGATGTTCCTTTAAAAAGCATACTTTACGAACATTCATATAAATGGTAAAAACGATTTTAGTTCAAAAAATTGTGAACCAATTTCAACGAATCGTTAATATATATAAAATTGACTTCCTTTGATGTCGGCAGTTTTACTGGTAGCTTTTTACTACCACCGTTTCTGACTAAAAGTAGAAATTGTATCAGCATACCAAATACTAGTTATATGTTTTACTTTACACTTTGTGAAACTTTTTACAGATTCGTCTGTGTCTTTTACCCATTTTATAAGTACCTTACTATGTAATGTGTATTTCGGTTTGAAGGGTGGTATGTGGTGGTATATGGTAGTGAAATTACAGTGTACAGAAGCATGACATCTTAGCCCTCAGGAATGGCTATATATTTGACGGCCTCGGTGGTCTAGCGGTCTATTACACCACTTTCCTTCTGATGGTCGCGGGTCCGAATTCTCGCACGGTGCAACCATTTGTATTTATGAATATGATTTTTTGTATCGGCTGGGTGTTTTCTATGTATATGTGGTATGTATTTACAAAAAAAATATCTAAGTATTTAGATACATCAGTTGTCTAGCTTCTATAACACAAGCCCTGGAACTAGATGGCGCTGTGTTAATTGTCCAATGTTATTTTTTTTTTTATATATATACCATGGACGCCACATGACGAAATACGGTTCAACTTGTTTGCCCAATCAAATAGCATGTAGATGAATATTTTCATGAAACATTGCTAATGAATGTTTCATTACATGCAGTGTCCGAACTGAGGCGTACTGCAGGCTGTTCCAGCGCCTTCTCTGCTCCATCGCCGTCGGCACACCATGAACCAGGTCAGTTTTTAGTATTTTATAATGTTTCTACTTACTGGCGAGCACGTGCCTGCTTATTACCCTTATAAAGACTGTTACCTAAATAACAAGCTTATAACATCGAATTGCGCATTAAGATTTATTTTGTTTAGTCTGTAATAACGTATAAAGCTAAAGGGTTTGTTTGAGTCCGCTAATCTCTGAAACTACCCGGGGGATTTGATGGTATAAATTTCCAGTCCATTATTTGAGGAAGGTTATAGCAAGCGAAAAAGAAAGTCCAAAGAAATGTTAAGTGAACACAGAGTAACTTCTTTTAAATTAGTCTGCCGATGAAAACGAAGAGTATATATTAATAGTATTTCATTTTGTATATTTATTTATAATGATAGCTACAGACGTTATGGTAAAAATAACCAACAATACAATAATGTATAAACAATATAGGTTTTTAAAAAATATATTTTAAGTGTTAAATTTTAAAGTATGAAAATGAATCATCTATTTAAGTTACAGTATAATTATTTATTATTATTTCGTTTATTTCGGATATTTATCCATCCATATTATGTTAGATTACTTTAGTAATCATATTATAATTTTTTTTAATTGAAAATATCAAATACCTTTAGTAAATACTTTATTATTTTATTCCTTTTTGTTCATTATTTTTGTTATTTATCTACTGCTATTACAATATTATCTAAAAATAATAAAGTTGTAACTTATCTTAATTACATAACTGTGCAGATAAATACAAGCGAACTCAGAACATAATATTATTCTACTATCAATGCTACCTGCTCTAATTTATTATTGCATTATTAACGTTATATTTAATATTTATTTTTTATTATTTACTAGCCAATCGCCCCGGCTTCTCCCAGGTGTACATGTATTATACATAGAAACTCTTGAATCACTCTATCTATTAAAAAAACCGCTTCAAATACTGTTGCATAGTTTTAAATATTTAAGCATACATAGAGACAGACAGCGACAGCAACTTTATTTTATACTATGTAATAATAATGATGACGATGATGATCTAAAAACAATGTGATTAGTTTTCATGATACTGTAAAATAAGCGGCTGTTGATATACCTAAAGTCGGATCGCTAGGTTGCTAAAATGGAACTTACGCCCATCTATAAGAAGCGTAGAAATCAAATGCACCAATTTAGTCAATGTAATGGTAGTCACATTTGGCCAACTTCATGAATGTAACAATATATTAGTAACGTAAATTAAAATATTATAATATTATTTATTCAAATAATCTTACATTGAAGCAGTTGTGAATAGTCATTACATTATTTGTTCAATTTACCGCTCATTCGGAAAATTGTCTCATCACAAGAAGAATGAATAAAGAACTTGGGTGTTGCTCTTTTAAAAAATTTAGTTGATACTTTATATTTTTAAATTGAAATATTTTAATTCAAACTCAAACTCAAATAGAGAAAATATTAAATATAAAACCAATTGGTTGAGTAGCTTAATAAGAAAGAATAAAACTAACCTCATGAGTGTAACTAGTGTGTGAGTGTAAACTGTATATTAGTAGGGAAATTAAAGCTCTACGTTAGCATCCAAGTGTATTCTTCAATTGATATCGTCTTATGCAACTCATAAAATTCTTTGATCCAATAAAACTATGATTTCTGCCCACTGTTCCAACTTTATTCAGTAGTGAGAGGGAGAAGCGAGTGAGAGTGAGCTTTAATACACCGAGCCAAGTTCCCTTAGCTGCGGACCAATGCGGGTAGCATTCTGTTTGAATAAATCACCTCTTACTTGGTAGCAAATTCGGATGTTATAAAAGTTGTCTCTTAAATTAACCATACTCAGTTGAGGATTTGTGTACGTAATTTTGTATTTGTTTCTTTATCTTATATCCCACTCCAAGAATCAATATATAATATATAAGAGGGTTTTTGTTTTGTACTATATGTCATATAAGGTAAACCTAAGTGGCTATATACTTATTTTGCTAGAATAGCAGGTGCAGTATTTTTTAAATCAGTCAGGTATTTTATTTTCATCAGTTATTTTAATGTTGTATTTTGTTTATCCATTATAAACAAATAAATAAGGAAACGTCTTAATATTAGTATAGATAGATAAACTAGTGACTCAATAAATGAACAATATTGTAACAAATTACATTAAGTTTTTACATCATACAATAGAGTAGAATCGGATAAAAAGCAACATCTGAACAAAATAAATAACGATTTCATAGGGACAAACAGTCTTTTAGACTTTGTTTACCTTTTATAAGATACAAGCAATATCCATCAAGAAAATAAAATAATAACAACAAAGCGGCGCACAACATGAATTTTCACAGAGGTGAACAAATAGAGCAGCCATATTTTAAATGTAAACATACAATATGTGTAATAACTGATTTAGTTTTTACCGTCTCTACTGTTCAAACAATTAAGATTTTGTAATCTATTATTTTGGTTTAATTGAATAACTAATACCTATTATCTTTCAATAAGTTCTTATTAATTACTGGCTTTTATTAATGAGATTACAATTACTAACTTGTCTTTGTCTCAAATAAGGATTTCAACGACGCATTCGTCAGTGATTAAATTAAAATAAATAACCTTTAGATTTTTTAATATACAATTTATATAAACTTAATATGTACCGTCATAATATTATGTATGACCTCTCGATATTTCAGTCGACTCATGACCAGTTTTTCTTCTCTTCGGATTCGTTCTTGACAGAATGGTCGTGGTCATTAAGTAGTGAGTGGGGTATGAGGCTGGTGTCATCCGCTGTCTCGCTATTTGTCTCTGAGTGGACCGCTGTACTGCTTTCAGTCGTTGTTAGCAGTGCCGAAATATCTAGGATCTCACAAACATTGTTATCATTATCAATATACACATTATAATGACAACATTAATGTAGATATTAATAACAACAGATAACTTGTAAAAAACAGTAAATTATCTTTAAAGCGATCTTTCGATAACTTTTTAAAAACCTACACAGAAAAAACATCATACTATCAATATATATGGAACATCCTGTCTACTTTTTCAATCTGTGTGGTGGTATCTCGTTCAGTTTACTTCACTGTGGTGCTGAGCTCCTATTTGCAATAAACACGTCCCGTGTGGTCGCACAACGGGAACAAGTTTCACAAACTTGTTTTGCACTCGGAAATGTTAAAACTGGGACTTACTCCGTAAACGACGGAATTTTCTTTAGCTCCACAGCAACTCTAAATTAAGTATTTAATCTTTTGGATGTAAGAAGTTTCAGCGAAGTTGCTCTTTGACGAAATTAATCGACCTCATTAATTTTGATTGAAACATTTGAATTGTTCAAATAAACAAGTGTAATATTAATTATTATATATAATGTAAATGATTTTAATTGTAACATTTTATAATATTTAGTAGGCACTGAGGCACCGTCTCTGTTCATGCTGTTTTGTTTATTCTTTAATATCGAAGGCATTGTCGGTTTATGCGTAATTTGCATTCGTTCTTGAGTATCTTCTCTTGAATGTATCAAATTTGCTTGAAGTATTGTTTTGCTTATATTCTTCTGAAAGGATATAAAAACATTTTATTAATGTAACGTAGGTATTTTACTTGATATTAAAAGATTTAATCTGCCAACTTACGCTGCACTTTCATCAAGACTATATGCCTCCAACAAATGTGAAGCAATGCCTGTGCATTTTATAAATTACATCATTACTCCTATCCACATATACTGCTCAATTCCACTTGTTTGTTCATTGGTATGGAAGTATGATTTATTTTATCATAAATCAAGTACTCCGTATAAGAAATATCCAATCCGCTGGGACTCCAATAAACCACTTTTTTAAATTAAATCTAACAATTAATACCTACATTTATAATGGTTAAAATATGAATCTCATTTAAGATTTTATTCAACGATCTGAATAATATTATCTGCAAATTAATGAGTTTTAGTCATTCAGAATTTCATTAAAAGCATTTCTATTAAGATGCTTGGTTTTATTATTTTGAAAAATTGTGCCAAGAATAATTGCTTAAAGTTATTTTAAATACACTGACTCATCTGAAAATAGAACCGGAAATGGTTCTGTATTCATTTGTATTAAGTTTTTGATTATATGTATTAAATTTATAGCCAAGTAGTGGCTATACCCTACTTCACATGGTGCATATGATGTATAGCATAATTATGTAAATAAAGTATATTAAGATAAAATGTCTATTATTGTGTCCAAAATCATTAAACTACATCTCAGAAAGCAATTCATGAATTAGTGACTAAGTGACAAAGAAAAAATAAGTTTGGTTTCACACACACAATTCGTTGCTTCTATTATTTAGATTTTTTTTCTTAAAGATTTTAAAATAAAAATATTAATATATTTTTATTAATATCTCACGATACCTATCTCACCTATTTTGCACAATGCTTAGCTTGAGACTAGAACTCAAGCTAAGCAGCGCTTGTGTTACATCGTACAATAAAAAACAACTTATGTCATATCAATATACTAGACAACTGATATTAATACATTTTTTATATTTAAATATATACACAATATTCATAAAAACACCAACGATCATACTCATGAGTACAAATGATTTCATTAATTTGTACCCTGCGAGGAATTGAACCCGCGACCATGGAAAGACGGTGTGCTAAATCGTTAGACTTTTGAAGCCGTCGAAATTAGATCTCTAGTTTATACATCCACTTTAATATACGCCAATAGATGAGTAAATTAGACGAAAAATAATTATTGTTATTGTTTCATAAATTAATGAAGTGTAATGAACAGTTATATTAAAATTATTTAAAACGTGATATGCAGATCGCCCCTTTGTCTAAAAATAACAAAAAATGTGCGCGCGCGACTTGAATATAAATTATTGGGCGGTCCGAGCGGCTTATTATGAAGGCAATATTGTGCTACGCCCACTGAATTCATATTTACACGTTAAATGTCAGCTCCAATAATTCTACGAGTAATTTAGTCGCA